AAAAAGCACACTAATATTGTCATTGATTACTATTCTAGAGTATTCTATGTATATAAACATATATAGATAAAATTGTAGAGCCATAAGAGGAGGAAATTATCTAAAAGAATATTCTTTGGTCAATTATTTTGTGTTTTATTGATGTCTGAATGAATATTTTTTCGATAACTTAAAGTGTTCTATACATGTGTACAATTCATTAAAATGGAAGGCCTTTTTTCTCATCAATGTACAATGGTAATTTAACCTATGGAATTTTGAGTATCAACATGATTGTGTTGTCTTTTTTTTCTTGTCTTGTCAACCTTGACCTTTTTGTGGGCTTTCAGTTACAGTTATTTATGACCAGAGGGAGGGAGGGAAGAAGAGAAAGTAAAATATAATAGAAAAAAACAAACAATTTTACACTGGGTGTTTTAACACAGTTTCATTTCACACGTAAGGACATAGTCTTTGTGAAAGGCAGTGTGTAGAGTGTTGAATAGAATGTGTCCCTAGAATGCACTTTTTTTATATTTCATAAAAAGATATGATGCTCACTAGCGACTGACTGACTGACTGGCCATATTCAGGCAGTTAACCTGGCCTGGTTCTATTGGGAAACCATGGCCAGTAGGATAGAGCAGGTTGAAGGTGAGGCGGTAACTCTTCGAAGAAGACATTGTCAAGTGGTCGAGCTATGTCGTGAATTGGCAGAAGTTAGAATTCCTGAGCTGGCCAGTGGGGATAGGTTCTCAGTGACTGAATGGTCTATGAGCTCAACAGCCTTTGTAACCAGAAGGTCCTGGGTTCGAACCCTGTCAGTGGTGGGTGTGTACTTATGAGGAGTCCCAAACAAGGACGAAATGACTGTCCAGTACGCCTAGCTTTTGAAATGATCCACTAACCGATGTCAGCTCATAATGAAATCCTCCAGTCAATCGTTATTTTGAATATGTATTCATTTGTGAAAACCATTTTTCCCTTCTCCCTGTAATTGTCTTTTGGCATTGTTATATTTACAATTCTAGCCAAATCTATTAATTTGCTTGTCTATTACGTAATTCTTCTAAGTCATTATTATTTACAGATTTCTTGGTAGTCTAATAACTTGTTGTTAACGCCTAAGAATTAACTTATCTTGAATTCCGCATTTAACGCAGGCAAAGTTGAACTTTAAGCACTGCTAACTACCAATCAGCGAATGACCTTCAATGGACCAATCACACTAAAGACGAAATTTTTGATTTAACGAAAACATATATTAATGGGAAAAAAGTATAAAAACTGTATAAAACTGTTTCATAGGGTATCTTTCTCAAACATGTGACAGAAACACCTCCCAGTTTAGCATAGGAGAGTAAATAGAAAAGTCACACCACATTCTGTACATATATTCATCTAAATTACTGTAAATAGGATCCTTTTGAGATCCATTTATAGGCCTAATCCTTTCTTTCAGTCCTCTTCAAAATCCTTCTATAGAATTTGTGTGTGTCGCCGTAATGAGATCCACAAAATCACTGGAATGGTTCACTCTGTGATGAATGTATCCAAGAGATGACAGCGAGTTGTAACCATTTTATTCATCAGTATGTACTATGGATCCCTGTTTCACAATAGGTACTAGGGTAGTAGACTTTGTCTCTGGTATTCTCTCCACGAATCGTTTCCTCAGGGAGGTGTCATATAAACCGATCACCCAAATATTGTTGGCTCGCTCACGACTACGGTTATATTTTTTCTTCAATAAGGCAGTTTCGTCCACGCGTCGTATGGCGACACCTTCTCCGCCTAACAACGAAGTAGTTATCTGCATTTTCAATGAGACGATGTCTCTGCAGTGCTGGTACCGCTAAACTTTTGACACGAGGCTATTTTCGGTTTCAGCAGCTGTGCTTCTCACAGGCCGTATTAAAACCCAGTAGGTACAAATATACAAAAGCTGGGTTAGGGAGAGATGTGACCTAGCAAAAACTGTTCTTACGAAATATTAAAATTATCAGCTTACTTTCTCTAATACTAACTCGTCTCAGACAAATCGTACAACGATGGACATATCCATCAATCGACTTCCTAAAGCTTTTTAAGCTCATGACACCTCCACATGAACAAGTCCTCTCCTTTCTAAGCAACCTAGAATTCAGGTAATACTGCAAAACCTTCTCTTCCTCGAACTGCAAGCGTAAGTTTGTTAGAGCAGGCATTTGATACAAATCAAGAGCTATACAACCTTGAACTCACGTATATGAACCTCATTGGACCACCTGAGTTCGTTCGCTGATTGGTAGTTAGTGGTGCTTAAAGTTTAACTTGGTCCAAACGCATTAAGTCAGGGATATTTTTCTCTGATATCACATAAAAATACTTCTCAGTTATAATGTGAGGAGTGTCGGTTTTTTTTTAATTAAACCAGTTTCTATACATATATATTCATCAAAGTGACTAAAAATTAGTTCGTTTATTGCTCTCATCCTGTTTCTCAATCAACACTAGAAGCCCCGTCTACTGAACTTATATGAGTGCCAGTTATGAAGTCGATGAAATCATCAGGACGGTGAACTAGATAATGGATATATCCGAAATCTGATAAGCGGTTGTATCTCGCCCATTTTTCAATGTGTCTATTAGTGCCAGGATTGAACTAGCCTTTGAATAATGTGTAAAATGATGTTGGCACTGCGATCCTGGTATCACTTCGATTATCCCTTTCTGAAATTCTGTGTCATAAATACCCAATACGCCTACACTGTTAGCTCTATCGTGACCGTGGTTGTATTTCTTCTTCATAAGAACTACTTCATAGATATGTACAGTCAAACCAATTCCTCCTAACAGCTGTGTAACAGTATTCAACTTCCAGGATGCCATATCTCTGCACAGTAGACATCAAGGTATTTTCTGTCTCTACAGCCGTCGATCCCGCTCTGGAATTTAATATTCAGTAATGGCGAATAAAGAGTATGACTCGTCAAAGCCAGTTTCGATTTGGCAAAGAAGTTTCCTAAAAGACAATGAACTGAGTATCTAACGTACCAGTACGAACACTTATTCGTTTCCAAGTATTGGTTTGTAGGGATTTGATTGATTGGTTACAGGAGATTTCATCATGAGCTGACATTAGTTAGAGAACCATTAAAAAACCAGCTGGGACTACTGGACGGTTGTTTCGTCCTATTTTGGGACTCTTCATCAGTACGCACCCACTGGGGTTCTACGAGCTCGCCTTGTAACCAGGAGGTCCTGGGTTTCACCCTTGTGGTGTGGTGTGCTTACTATTGAAGAGTCCCAAACTAGGACAAAGCAGCTGTCCAGTACTCCCAGGTTTTTTCAGTGGTTCCCTAACTAATATCAGCTCATGATAAAATCCTGTAACTTATTTGTTTCTTACATTGTGTCCTCTTAAATACACATCTGCATCTCCAGTTTCTGAACATCTATGCAGGTACACAGAGAAGCACAACAAGAACATGTGTGGCTATGCGCTGTCGATCCATTGGTCCAAACAGTACTTAAAAATGTGATCTAGGTGAATTTTTCTCCTTAGTTGGTGAATAGCGTTCATCATGTTAACGCTACAAATAATGACAAACTCCGTCATCCAACAACTAGCAAGCGTTGAAGATCAGTGGAGCGTTTGCACTCTCTGGGCCGTGATATTTGACCTAAATAGGAAGGTCCTAGGGGAACACTCTGATATCATCGTGACTTTACACTAATCATCAACGGTATTATTCTACTATGAAACCCTTCAGAATCCTTCGAAGTGAAGACAGGAGTAAGACAAGACTGCCTACTATAGCCAATGGTTTTTCTGATTGCAGTAGATTGGATAATGCGACAGACAGCGGCAGGCAGCGAGGAGACAGGCATAAAATGAACCTACACAGAAAACCTGGAGGATGTGGACTCCTCCGAGGATATATGTTTGATTTCCCACAAACTGGAAGATGTGCAAGTGAAAACCAACAAGTTGGCAGAAGAAGCATCAAAGATAGGACTTCAAGTGAACATAGAGAAAACAGAGGTGATGAAGATCCCTGGCCAACACCAACAGTAACAACAACAGAAAACAATCAGCCAGCATAAATGGGAGGAACCTGAAAGAAACAACCTCCTTCATCTACCCACCTACTCGGGAAGCATCGTTTCAACTACAGGCTGACGGAACTGATGACGATATCATAGGAGCGGGGATCGGGAAAGCAACACAAGCTTTCATTACTCTCAATTCTGTGTGGAGGTCAACAGCCCTACTCAGCATGAAAATGAAAATAAAATCCGGATTTTCAACTCCAATGTGAAGTCAATGCTACTCTACACGGATCAGAGACTTGGCGCGTCATAAAGAGCATCTCAAACAAACTACAGACCTTCATTAACAGTTATCTTCGCTCAATACTCAAGATCAAATGGCCAGCCAGTAAAGATCAGCAACAGAGATCTCTGGCAATGAGCGAACCAACAGAGCAGGAACCGACTGTGAAACAAATAGGCAGGAAGAAATGGAGATGGATTGGCCATACTCTGAGGAAACCATCAAGTGACATCACTAGACAAGCCATTGCTCGAGTGGAACCCGAAAGGGAATCGGCGAGTTGGTCATCAGTGTAAGGGTGGCATGGACGAGGAGGTCATATGAAGAGGAGATGAAAACATGTGGACAGACTTGGAGCCAGGTGATGAAAGCGTTAGCAGAGAACCGAAGGCAATGGAGACGCGCGGCTCAAGCCCTGTGCTCCTCTGGGAATTAAAGGAAATAATAGTAATAATAGTGAAGCCGTCACCTTTTATTTCAAAGTAGTTGCAGACTTTTTTTTCTTTATCGTTATCTAACCTACCACTCCCTGTTTCGGTAGAACCTTCAAGGACAGTGGTCGTTGTAGCCTAGCGACAAGGCAGAATGAATGCATTATTGGTTAAATGTTGCTCTTGTGAATAACATTCAAACTGTCCAATTGAACTAATCTCTGTTTTCACCTGTCTTTCTACTTCTTTCTTTCTTTTTATTCAATGTGTAGCCTTTTACAAAATCAAGGGGATTTTCTTGTCCGTCAGACAAGTAAACGCGCTAGTGGTCGTGATACACTTACAACCTGGAATAACGTCGCCGGTGGTGGTGATGTATTCAACGGCGGTGGAAATCATCATGATGCAACGCTGAATAAAGATATTCATTCATCTAATGCAACTACTGTTCTACGTATGGTCTTGTCAGTTTATTGGCATGGTCATCGACATTTTATACTTTATGGCGGTGGAAGTTCTGGTGAAGGTTGGCATTTAGAAGATGGTTATTTTTCAACAATCAGGTAAGTAGGTGGTATGATCGTCAGGTAGACAGTAAGTGTTTTTCAGTCATAATTAAAGGTTCCTTTTTGTATTTCCCAATGAATGAATGGAAAAGAGCAAAACGATATTGTCGTTGTTTTTACTGACGTTTCGCTATTTAATGCCACTTATAGCTTTCATTTGTTTCTGGAATATGCTTTGAAGCCAGCCCTTATTTGCAGAGATCGACGAGTTCTCCCAATGTATGTGTGTCTACATGTACATTCAAATAGGTAAATACAATGGGATGTGACATCATTTTTCTCATGTTCAAAGGGCTTAGATAGATATATTCTCAATTATTATGATATTAGCTGCATAAAACGTCTTTTTAACAGCAGCGTTCAGTCTTTGTCTAGTTATCAAGCTGCTGTGATGCCCCATATGGGGTAGCTTGATGTACACGTCTTTCTCAGGGGCGAGTTGGAGAGTGGGTCTTGGTGTTCCACTGACTACTTTATATGTCTCCTAATGAACTTGTCTGGATAATTGTTATCAACCAGAGTTTGTGTCAACTTTCTTTCTTCTTCATCAAGTGTGTTTTCAGTGCGTATTCATTGGATTCTACCGAAGACGCACCTTACTAAGCCTCTTTTATACCTAACAGGGCAGAAACTGTGACTGTTAAGATACTCTCCTGTCCAGGTAGGTTTTCGATGAATAGATCTTTTTATTGACTCATCAAGCCGTCGACTAAGCAATATGTCTAGGAAAGATAACACAATTATCTTCCTCTTCTACAGACAGATGTAAGTGATATGATATTCTGAACTTCATTCATAACTGGACAAAGACTGAACGCTGCTGTGGTTATAAAAAGACTTTTTATGCAGCTAATATCATATTAATACAGAATGTAAAGCCAATATATCTATCTAAGTCCTTCGAAAATGCGAAAAATGATGTCACATCCCACTGCTTTTGCTAATAGCTTTATCAAATTAGTATTATTAAACCAGAATTTACAAAACCCACTCAGCTTATGTATAACAAAGAGATAAGAGGTGAGAAAATAGACTACTTAGGTCAAGTTGAAAGGACATACTGAAAGTCAAAATACCAATGAAGATCACTAAACCATATAACAGAGGTAATAGTACATCTGTTATGGTATCAAAACAAAGTTTACTTAACTTGATCATCGTTCGTCTGTCTGGGGTCATTTCTCGTTGTCAAGTTGGTCAATTGGTAAAGATAACGAAATCAAGTGTAGATTGTTGGATTTGATCAGTGTGTAAAATTATAAAAGTAGTGTATGATTACACAGTGAACTTGCTTATCACATTCGTGTTGATTTTGTCACTTCATAGGGGAGGTGGGTGGGTGTTGTAACCAGGTCAGATTCTGTTTTAGTCCATCATTCCTATTCAGGCAATTTGGATTCCACTTGATATTAATTAAGTGCTTCTGATTTTAAACGTTCTTTATGATTTCTGAAATGCTTTTTCTGGATTATTTCAATATTGTCAAAATCAATTTTGTGACCTGATTCTATAGTGTGCAGAAGAGCTATGGCTGATGATTTTTCAAGCTCCTCTAGTTCAACTGGATTTCTCTGTGGTCGAACAGAGGGGGCTCTACGGTGTTCATTTCTTCTGATTTTGATTTCTCGCTGGAGATGTTTATCCGGCGTATATCACATCACATTCTAAGCATTTTATTTTATAGAGACAATTAGATAGAGAATCTTACAGGATTTGGTCTTTTATATGGACAAGGTTGCTTTCTAGTGTGCGTGTCTGATGTTTTGAAGAAAACTGTAATGTCGAGCTTATTTATTGCTCTTCTGATATCGTCTGATGTCTCTGCTCTATATGAAATGACAACTGTTGAGATCCATGTTTTCGGAATACGTGTTTTCGGCCATACTTAATGTCAGTGTTGATTTCGTTAATGAAGTCCTTTTGGTAGTTGTTTTGCTTGAGAGTGTTTCAGTAATGTTTGATATTTCTTCTTCTTTTTCTTTCTCATCCGTTAACATCAGAGAGTGTGCTCGTCTAAGAAGACTTGAAACAACTAACACTTTTGCGCTGATGGGGTGTGATGATCCGACTTCTCATTAAGCTGCTTTTTTCTCTCCTGCATTTAGTTCAGTGGGATCCCCACCCCTTGACATCATAGCTAGATTGTCTCAAATCAACATATAAATTATGACAAGGGATAATTTCCTCCCCCCCTTATTTGTGCATAATTTTCAGGTTAAAGTCTGAATACTCTAGCTGTCAAGGTCATATGAGTAATGCTGAAAAGATCTCAATTTTTATGCATGTGGCATTGATTTTAACTTAGGGCTTTCTTTGTTAAACCCTTTAAATGGTATTTAGGAGTTAGTGTTTAAGGGGTTTGGATTGTTTAACATAACATAACATAAGCTTTATTCCAAATCAGTACTTATGATACAGAATGGAATTCTCAGCATTTTACTACAATATTGCATCCAGTTTTTTACATTAACAATAAATAAAGTTCTACATAGTTTAAAGTTATCTCAACAACATATTAGTATGTCGGTAGCAAAGCCAAAATTAAAGTGTTTGAAGGTGTTAGAAAAGTAGATACTACTAGCATATTTACTGGCGTAAGCGATAGCAAAATGTTCGAGATATACAGAGTGTGAAAGAACGAACAAGAATGTTTTAAGTAGAGTTTGCAAGGAAGAGAGAAACAAAACAGCACATAACAAAAATAAATACAGAATGAAGAGCGAGAAAACGTTGTACCTATAGATGATGTGAGTAGGAAAGACGAGATCCATTGGCTCTACTGACTATTTAATAAGTTAAAGGTTTCATGTCTGATGCATTCTTTGTCGCACAGAACACGGGCTAGGTAGGGTATGGATGAGTTTTTGTACTTACTAGTGCGGGCATATAGTTTCCTATATAGGCTTCTTGTTTTCCCTGAAGAGATACACGGGGAGAGTTGTGAATGTAGAGGGTGTTGTGAGTCAGATAAAATGGATTTCGCCCATTTTTCACATGAGTCCATATGCCTGTCCACCAGAATATTAACTAGCTGGCTAAGTGGCAAACTGCTTACCCTGCTGACAACCTTTAACATCCTACGTAATAAGGTATAGTCTTTCTTCAATAGCCCAGGAAAGACTAAGGGGGAGCAATAGAGAATAATAGGCAGAATACGGGAGTTAACAAATTGTAGGAGTAAGGGTTGGGTTATTCCAGAATGTCTTAACTTCTTGATGTAGAAGGTAAGACGGTATATTTTCTTGGAAATCGTCAAGATATGAGACGACCAGGAAAGATCAGAAGATAGAGTGACGCCTAGGTATTTAATTTCCGACTTGGTTTCTATTTCACTGCCATCTATGTTGCACACCTCGTGAGTGCTAACCAGTTTGTTTAGGTCAGATTTATGCCTAAGGGTGAAATTAACTGTTTGGCATTTGGAGGGGTTTAAGGTTAGACCGTTTTCCTTGGACCATTGGCTAATTTCCGATAAGAAGCCATTTAGTTTAGAGCAGTCACTTTGACATTTGACAGGTAAAGATACAGTTAGGTCATCAGCATATTTGACAAAGTTAATGTCATTTGAAGACGGTAGGTCATGTAGAAAGAAAGAAAAGAGAAGTGGGGAGAGTACAGCACCTTGGGGGACACCAGCTTCAGTGAGCACAGCAGAGGAGGATTCGCTTTTGTATACGGTGTACTGCATTCTGTTTGAAAAGTAGGAATGCAACCAGTTAGTGACCCAGGACTCGGTTTGTGTCATGGAGAGCTTATTTAGCAAGAGACTTCTAGGTACAGAGTCGAAAGCAGAAGTAAAGTCAAGAAACGTGCAGCGGACATATTTGGCACCTTTGTCTAATGATGAGATAATACTGTTGTGTAAGACGGCTGCAGCGTCTAAAGTACTCCTACCCTGTCTGTAGGCAAATTGTTTGGGGTCTTCGAAGCTTTCAAGTTTGCCTAAGGATTGTTATCAATTAGAGAACCATTGAAAAGCAACTGGGAGCACTGGACATCAGATATGTAGTCCTAGTTAGTTTGGGACTCTTTGACAATACGCATCCATTTGGTAGAAGTTACAATTCATGGGTCATTGAGTAGTCGGACCCCATTGACACACTACTGATGAATAGTCTACGAGACGGTCGCCTTGAAAATTTAAGGTCACGGGTTTGAACTCTGGCAGTGAGTGCATCCTGTGTATGAGTCTCAAACTAGGACGAAATAGCTGTCAAGTACTCCCTGCTAGTTTTCATTGGTCCTCTAACTGATATCAATCCCTGGTCAAACTTGACGCCCTTTTTGTACATAATCGAAATTTTCGCATGTAAACATAAGCTACTTATAAGTAGTGTGATACTATTTACTAATCATTTGAGGGTGTATGTGAATAACCAGAAGACTTATGTGTGAGAATATTTCGTAGAAAATATGTAGATGAGTTTCTTATTGGTATTCAATAAAACATGCGACAGATTACAAAACGTTACTAGTGACTTTCGTCTTCTGGGTTTCCCATCTGGGGCAGGTCCATTCCCCCCACCACCACCACCTTAGTCAGATGATAAAACGATGGGGATCCCTCAAAATAAGGAATACTTATGAAGTTTATTATTATTTTTAATTGGACACATTTAATTAAGTCCATAAATGTTCCTCTTCTGCCTACAGTATCGCACAAATAGTAATATTATACTTGGTGCTAATTTCAGCTGAAATAATCTGTTTGTTGATTGGACACTAATAACTAGTGTGACGTGTTTAGTCCTTTCTTTGGTGCAGACTGAATTCCACCAGTCAGTCAGGTTTGCAATGTGGCCACCATTCTGGATAGCTGGCTATCACGGTGCACATTGATTTGATGAATTAGGTGGTTGGAGGCGATCGGCCACAGGAAGCCCTGTCTAGACCTGAGTTTCGTTCTAGTTGGCACTCACCAGTCAGTTACCAAGGCGTCTCTGCAACCTTCAAGGAACAACTCATTTCCCTTGTGAGATTCGAACTCGCGTCACCCAGTGCTGGCTGGAGTCAGAGACGTTATCACTGAGCAGATATGCCTTGGTGACCGACTGGTGAGTGCCAGCTAGCACGAAACCTAGGTCCAAGGCTTCCTGTGGCCGATCGCCTCCAATCACCTAATATCTTCAAATCAATGTGCACCGTGATAGCGAGCTATCCAGAATGGTGGCCACATTGCAAACCTGACTGACTGATAGAATTCAATCTGCACCAAAGAAAGGACTAGACACGTCACACTAGTTACTAGTGTCCAATCAAAATACCCACTACAGTCCTACAGTAGGTTAATCGCCAGTCAGCCCGAATAGCTAGCTCAGTTGAAACGTCTCCGACTGCAGGCGGGACTGGGTGACGCAGGTTCGAATCTCAAAAGAGACTTAAGTTCCTTCAAGGCGGTTGCAGATACGCCTTCCTGACTTACTAGTGAGTTCCAACTACTAGGAAACCTAGGTTGAGCAAGGTTTCCTGTGGCCGATCGCCTCCAACTATCTAATATATCATCAAGTTTCATGTCTATTTGATTTTATATTTATGCGTAAAAACTGCCTTTTTCTTGTTACTGGTGAGCTGCTACTTTCTGGTGTTTAAAGTTTAACTTCACTATTGACTTATTATACGACTTGTTAATTTTATTTATTGATTTTTAGAGAATTAGTCGAATATCATATGAAAACTCAAACTCCAGTGACAGCTAAATCCGGCGCTTGTCTTATTACTCCAATATCAAGACCTGATTGGGAATTAGACAATCGTGATGTAAAATTGTTACAAAAATTGGTCAGGTATGTTGTAGTCTACATGAAATGCTGCTTTTAAACACTTGTCTACCCATTTTCACCCATTTTTGGAAACAATGCAGAATACATGGAATCTTTTGAATTGTTACCTTGTTAAGTTAAGTCTTACACATACCGGAAGGGGGGGAGGGCGAGAATATTTCTGGAAATTTCATGAAGGTGTTTTTCTTTGACCTCTAGAGGTATATAGAAAACCTACATCAACTGACTGTCAGTATACTCATTTTTTTTTAGCTTTGTGCCCTTGAAATATAAACGCAATCGGATTGATAAAGTGCTTGATTCACGTAGCAGGAGCAATTTGCTCGGATAAATATCTTGATGAGGAACTTAATAATATTAAACGGTTGCTGAGTGAGAATGGTTATCCTGAAAAGTTTATTGATAAGAATATGAATTTGAAACCAAAGCAGCCGAAGTTACCGACAGTTCCGAAAAAGGCCTTATTTTTTAGATGCAGTTCCTTGGGGACAACATTAGCACGATAATAACACAGCGCCTTAGAAATGCGGTGAAATGAGTATTCTCTCCTGCTGAATTACCTTGTATCTTTAAGACCACTCCTCTTCTGCGTTCGGGAGTAAAAGATAAACTGCCTAGTTTCGCCTCTTCCATGTGTATCTACCAATTTAACTGCTCCTGTGGAGCCAGTTACATAGGCCATACAATTAGTCGTTTTTCTTGTTGAATTACCGAACACCACCCTGCATGGTTAAGCAAAGGCCAAACAAAATCCATTCATAGTGCTATTCTGTCTCATCTTGTGGATACAGAACACAAGTTTGACGTGAACCATGCTTTCAGGGTCATTTGCCGCATAGTAACGAATCTCAATTTCGCCTTAAGAGTTCGACTACTAAATATTGCTGAGGCTGGCCGTTGGGATCCATATTAACATGCCTAAATTATGCGTCCAAGGGAAGCTAGTTCAGACATTACAGTCTTTACCTTGGCCATCTAGGTTTGAATAATCCTGAGTTTTTGTAGAATTTCCCTAATTTATGTTGATATTCTATTCGCTATTATTTCTTTATTACTATTATAATTTAAGCATCTTTAATGAACTGTAATTCCGTCGTGATGTTACTTAACTAATCGATATTATTTAAAAAGCACACTAATATTGTTATTGATTACTATTCTAGAGTATTCTATGTATATAAACATATATAGATATAATTGTAGAGCCAGAAGAGGAGGAAATTATCGTGAAAGATATTCTTTGCCCATGTTAAGTTGTATAATATGGGGAGTAATGTTGAGATTAGGCGTTTAGTGTTAAGAAAGGAAGGTAGGGCAATTGATGTAGTTGTGGAGCTAAATCGAATTTGGTGGCTAGGGCCATGGGGTTACGCGGGTTGATCGACCGCGTTTCTGTACGATTAATGGAAATGAGACCATCAATATCCGCAATATGGTAGGAAACATATTTTATGGTTAGTTGAGAACATAAGGCTCTTAGGGTGTTTAATCCTGCTCCTAGGTTATCGTGGATGTCGCACAAAAATACCGCATAGCCGAGAGGTAGATTTAACGTCAATGTGAAAGAAAGTGAACCCGTATGAATCGAAAATAAAACATGTGAGACACGAAAAGAGGTCAAAGAGACACACACACACACAATACGAAGGAAGGGCAGCAGTAGCACAACACATGGGAGTTCTGCTCAAATAACGACCTTCATATCAGGGTTAACAGGTGTGTCGGTGACCCAGCGGTAGAATGCTCGCCAATCACACCTCATGTGGTCTGAGGTTCAATCCCCGGCGACAGACGCACTCCTCCTTTACCTCGCTAAGCCAGTAATAAGACTGGTGAAGAGGAAAGGTTGGGCATGAGGCCAGCAGCAGTTGGATCCCGTAAAAATAAACACCACTGCTACAGAAACTTCAAGCCTGAAGCTCTATGTTCCACTGGGAACGTAAAGGAATATTAACAAGTGTGAGGTCAACATAATTTTATTATATTGTCGAGATATCGAATTCCCAAGAAACATCCCGTTACCAGGTCTTTTATCTTCAAACGTTACATTTGGTGTCGCTGCCTCCAGGCAATGAAGATCCCATGGGCTATTGCCTTTGAAGAAGCAAATGAAGAAAATGTAACGATAGAAGACAAGAGAACCGGGTTAAAGAAATGTTTATTTGGAATTTCGTATCTCTATAAAATATTTAAAAATCGTTATTTGCACAGAACTTCCTTGTTATGCTACTTCTTTATCTTCTTATCGTGTCTCCTGTATTTAGCCATAGTACTGGTTCATTTGTAGCCTTTTACGTCAAATCTATCTCTCTGCTTGCAACGACAGAAGACAAGGGTCAGGCAACAAATCGTTTATTGACAAAATCAACAGATATTTATAGACTTTTATGTACATTATTATTAGCGTTATTGTTAGCAGAGAAACAGCATCTTCTGATTGGTTGCTTTCTCGCTGAAAGTTAATCTGTCATCATCTCTTTGTGGCCGTTTCTTTGAAGGTCAGACCATATATCTGCGATCCGTATCCGCCCACGTAAAGTCTTCTGTGATTGGTTGTTGAGTTAGTCTTTATTCTTGTTTTTTTCTTATGACGAAGACTTGGGACGTAAAATTGACGTAAATTACTGTCTAGCAGTTTGACTAGCAGACAACTCTCATCACACGCTATTTGAAATGTTTGTCCAAATGGATGTCTCTTCTTATACTACTGATATATTTTGTCAGTAGCACAGTCCACTGAGTTAACTCCCTTTCAGACTTACTTATATAGAGAATAATTGAGTTCGATTTTAGAAGCATCATAACCTTCCATTAATATTCTGTGAGAGACGTTTTCTGTTTTTGATGGGATCATGTTCGGTGTGAAGTACACTCCTTGTAGTTGAATTCCCCACTTCAAACAGCATAACCACAACAAAACATATCCACCTGAGCTAAAATCCACTCTATTTTTTAGATTATACGATTTATGGGAATTTTTCAGATTAGTTCCAGTTGTTAGATTTCCGTCAAGGAACCAATATCAGTTAGAGAGATCACTGAGGACCAGAGAGCAGTTAACAGCTGTTTCGTTTTATTTTGGGGCTCTTCTTCAGTGGGCATCTAATACATTGCCAGGGATCGAATTTGGGATGTTCAACTCAGCAGACCAAGTTAGTTAGTTGACCAATTCAACCACTTCAGTTGCAATTCAAATGGACTTCTAAATTCCAACTTTGTCATCCCGTGATGTAGCGCTGCCCTCACTCCCCAGTGCCTATGATGAGCATTCCTTCCATCTTGACATGGGTTCGATCCCTGGCAGAGTAGTAGGTACTCGTTCATTGCTGAGGAGTACCAGAATAGGACGAAACAACAAGCAACTTTCTTCGTACAAATAAAGATGCATATTTCATTGTATCATTTATAAAAATTTCATTCTTCTAACACATTTTTTAATCATTTTGTGTTAATTAGGGAAATTTCGGTGATGTCTACCGGGGTGTTTATAATGGCTGTGAAGTTGCTGTGAAGACATGTCGTGTTGATATGACCGCATCTGATCTACGTCAAAAATTCCTTCAAGGTGAAACAACTGCATTGAATTTCAATCATCCAAATATTGTTAAACTTGTCGGTATTGCTGTTCAATCATATCCAATTATGATTGTCATGGAATATGTTCCAGGTGGGTTGAAAATTTGTTGCTTTCCACACTGTTTATCGTTTTTTGAAGTAGCCATGTCACACACACACACTGGGCAACCATTTTCTCCTAGTTTCAAACTCTTCTTCAGTACGCACTTATAGCCTTACACTAAAGGGGGTCGAACTTGTAATCAAGAAAGTCTGTATCAACTCCTAACTAATGATTAACTACAGGATGAGGTATCCTGGAGTTCCAATCAGAAACCGTGCAGAGTTCATGAGTTTATGTGTGTGTGTGAGGATAAATTCTTGCCGTCAACATTGCCTATCGGTAGTGGTATTACAGTTTCAAATTAGCATAAGTTAAAATTCATGGGCTGGCTAACGGATTGGGCATCCTAGTGGGCGAATCTTCAGTAGGCTTACATGGTAAACTGAAGCACCTGATTTCGATCCCTTAGTGAGATGATGACTGCGTACTGTCGAAAAGTCTCAAACTAGGATGAAATAACTATCCGTTAAGGCCTGGTTTCCTATGTCTCTATCGTTATTTAACTAATAATCGTATGCTACTTAAAACCTTTTAAGTAGTTAGAATAATAATAATAATAATTTACTTTATTCCAAAAACAGTACTTGTGATACAGAATGGAATTTTCAGCATTAATCACAATATTGCATCTAATTTCCTCAAATTATAAATAAAAATTAATCACACAGAAAATTTTTTACATTTACAATAGAGGTAGTGTCAAAAACATGCAACATATAAAATGGAAAAAATAATAATAATAACAGCTAAGGTAATAATAATAATACAAGTGACAATTGCTGTGGGCTTGTTTCACACAGTATTGGCAATGTGGTATAAAAATCCTAACATGTTTAAAAATATTGAATATAACGTTCTCTTTACATGATGGTGATGGTGAGGGGAAAAACAAAGATTACAGCCGTCATGGAGATAAGTTGGTGTTTGCAATTATGAGAGTAAAAAAAAACAGAAGAATGACTTTCAAGTTGAAATTCTAACTCATACAGAACAAATTTAAAACTGAATGATTCCCGATCTAACAATTTAAGTCAATACTAACTGCCTGTATCCATTCGCGTCTGTAGGCTCACGGATGCGCACAAAATTGGGTAAATTAGAAGAACAATGTGACCACCATACACAGGAATCATTAAATGTTAAACAAAAGTCTTTAGATATTCAAGTATTGGTGGTTTGTAGGGATTTGGTTGATTGGTTACAGAATTTCATCATGAGTTAACGTTGGTTAGAGAACCATTGGAAAACTCGGGAGTACTGGATAGCTGATTCTTCCTAGTTTGGGACTCTTCGGCAGTACGCACCCACCAGGATTCGAGCCCAGGACCTTCCGCTTACAAGGCGAGCTCGTGTACCATTAAGCCACTGGTGTGGTGAGAGCAAGCTGCTAGCTGATTGGTTGACACTAATCTACGTTAATGTCTAGGTCACTAATATGGGCCGTGAGAAAATATGAACAAGGCTGTTTCAACAACCAATCACAGCAAACTTAAATGTGGACAAATATGATTCGCAGATAGATGGCTCTACTTTCCGAGAAATATCGAAAACAACCAATCATAAGACTGTGTTTGTCTGCTTAACTTCCGAGAAACAACCAATCAGAAGACTGCCTTTTTCTGCTTGCATAAGCCTTATTAATGCACATAAAATATATATAAATACGTGTTGATTTTCGTAATAAAACGATCTGTTGCCAGCCCTTGTCTTCTGTTGTTACATTTGGTGTCGCTGCCTCCAAAAAGATGAAGATCCCGTGGCCAGCTGCGTTTGAAGAAGGAGACATACGGAGCTTCTTACGTGACTTCGAGGCCGTTGCTGAGCTGGTGGGTGTCAAGGAGCAGGCGGCGAAGGCAGTTGTCCTGGGGACGCTGTTGAGAGGCCGAGCGAAGGCTGCATATGACAGCGTAGACAGGTCAAATGGCACAGCGTCTTGGAAGAAATTGGTTGAACGACTAGTGTCCGAGTTTGACAGCGAAACAGACAGACAGCTAGCAATGCAGCAGTTCCGGTCAATGAAGCTTGGACCTGATGGAGACCCGCTAGTGTTGGCGGTGAAACTGACTAATCTACTTCGACGCGCGCTTCCCACTTTAGATGAAGAATCAGAAGCGCAGTTACTGTCTTCCCAATTCATCGAGAGTGTCCCAGACCACATTTCTCAGCGATTACAACTGGTTAACGCAACGCAGCCGATGGATATTAGTGAGCTGGCGAAGGTGACCAGACAGCTGCTGAGCACAACGGTAGCCGCTATAGACCAACCAAAACCAAACGAATATGAGCAGAAAATTGAAGCATTGCAGCGGGAAGTGGCGGCGTTAAAGTTGGCTGATAGAAAAGACCGGTGTTTTGAATGCGGTAAGCCGGGACACTGGAGAAGATACTGCCCAGAAAGGCGAAAAAGAAAAAATTTCAGACGGTATAATGCTTGTTCTTTCTTTCGTATGAACCTAGATTTAGTGGGGGCTATTGAGAAAGGGCTCTGTATTCGAAGTTGCGAGTGAATGATCGAGAAGTAGTATGTTTGATAGATACAGGGGCGGCCGTGTCGTTAATAGATAAGAATTTATGTAAGAGTGTTAGTCCGTGTTCATTGACAGTACAAACAGTAGGCGGGTATGTGTTGCGTATCACGGGTAGATCGAACTGTACGGTCGTTGTTGGTGGCTGCGAGGTGACGTTTCCTTTCATTGTTGTACCCGAACTACAGCGAACGATATTAGGAGCGGATTTTCTGCGTGAGATTGGTGCAATAATCGACACGCAAGCGAACGTGGTGATCACGAAATACGGGCATATCAACATGTATGAGACCAGCGAGATAGCAGCGATTAAGCTGTCGACGGTACACAATGTGACAGAGTTAATTAATAAATACGATCATCTGTTCACTGGAGATGGCGACCCATACGGTTATTGCGATAAGGTGAATCATGAAATTCCGTTAAGTGATCCGAAAGTAAGGTCATTTTTAACGCGAAGAGTTCCATGTCATCTGGAAGGCGAAGTGGAGCGACAAGTGCAAGAGATGTTAAAAGATGACATTATTGAGGAAGCTGATAGCCCGTACAACTCTCCAGTGCTGTTAGTAAAAAAAGCGAATGGGAAGTATAGATTCTGTGTTGATTACAGATCCAGCTTCCACCAATCTAGCGATAATGGCTATTAAAGTAGTGGACATTTTATCTGGTATTCTTTCTATAAATCTTTTCTTTAAGTTGATATCGTACAATCCAAGCAACTAAACATTACTTGCTTTTATGAGACCTCGCTTGTCTTTCCTTTTATGTATGTATGTGTACAACAACACCTCCCCTTCCCAATAAAGAATTTAGTTCCTCCATATTCTAGGGTATAATATCTCTACGGTACTGGTACCATTGAACAGTTGAGGTGAGACTATTCTCTATTTCAGCAGCTGTGGCTCTCACACCATGTTTTAATAAGCCATATAATAGTAAACACTAATCCTAACAATAATAATCATACACAATGGAAGCTTTTCAGCATTTCGCATGCAGATGAAAGACAGATGAAAAATATCTAGCTATCAGGGCAAAGAAAGACTGATAACTGTTTCTTTCTGAACGCATAAATCAGGTTTCAGACGCTTGATGGAGATGGCTTCAGCAAACTTGAGGAGAATTGAGCTCTTTAACCTATTGATAATTTTGAAAGATTTTGAGACGTCCACCTTATTCATGACCAAGGAGATGCTTGGCGATGGCACCGTTTAAAGCATTTACTTCCTTTAGACATAAGCTTTTTGGTAACAAGTGTAATATGTCTAATCCAAGGCTTCCTGTGGCTGATTGCCTTCAACCATCTAATATCATCAAATCAATGTCTATCCTTGATGGTGAGCTATCTAGAATGGTGGCCACATTGCAAACCTGATTGACAGACAGAATTCAGTATGCACCAAAGAAAGGACTAGACACATCACACTAGGTACTGACTTGTGTCCAATCAAACATTACTATTAGTATGAAGTATTTTCAATGTAAATACCCTATTTTAGTTACTACCCCTGTAATGGAAACATTAGATGGAATAAACGTATTATTATGATTTATGGATGCTTCCGACTTGATAACCTGATTAGATAGTTTTTGATTGGTTAATTTATGGCTTAAATTCCTGAGGTTTTGTAAATTGTGCATATACCATGTATTTTGTGTAATAAACGTTGGCGGGTGGGGTGTTCTTCAGGTGATAAGTTAATTATAGAGTCATGTGTGGTGGCGGCGCATTGTTGCCACCAAGCAACACAACTCCATAGCCTCCGTAGAGCACTCGGTCGTAAGATATTTGTTTTTAAAAATCAATACTTTTTCACACTAATTATTCTCTTTCTTTTCCATCCATCCTACAGGTGGTTCTCTTTTAAATCATTTACGTAAATCGAAAAATGCCCTGCCTGTTATGAAATTACTTAAAATGAGTTTAGATGCTGCCAGTGGAATGAGTTATTTAGAAATGAAGAATTGTATTCACCGGTAAGAGTTTTGTTTGTTTTTTACCTTACTTCTTTTCCTTTATATCCTGTTTTTGTTTTCTTTTGCCTTCAATTGTGAAGAAGGAGGGTGGGGGAATCTACACTGCTGTCCTCCACGTTATAGCTGGTAGTTAAGAGAGAGAGAGAGAGATGGAGTCGACAGTAATCCTGGAAGTCCATCATTAGTTGTCAGTCAAATCCTTCTAAAGCTTACTTCACTTTGGCTGACTGTAAGGATACCAGGGGTTGAAAATCTTTCAAATTATCATTATTATTATTATTATCAATAATAATAATGACGACATGCATGTCAAATATACGCAAGACAACACCAACAATAAGGAATCTAAATCATCAGTAGTAATTGCATACAAGCAAGGAACCTCGGAAGCCTTATGCAGAACTCTTAACAATACTGGTGAGAATAAAAGTGGCACTGAAACCCACAGACTCAATTAGAAACAAGCTTTGTCGGTTAACGGATCAGTCCTGTGGAGCCTTTAAAACAAATTAATCTAGTTTATCTAACACCCTGCCTGCAATGATGATCGGGTCAAATCCATAGGGGCAGTCAGACTAGCTGAACATAAAAACCTAGCAAAATCTAGATTGGTTGATCTGAATAAGATAAGAAATCTAGAGAATAGTTCAGCTATAGCACTCGCCACATGCAATTGTACACAACCATACAGCACAGGATGATGGGATAGGATGACAGTTTTAAAATTTAATGTAACAGCAGGGCGGAGGGAGAGATTGATAACAGAAGCTTTGTTTATCGAATCAACTGAGAAAGAATACGTGTAATGGGAATGATTTGACACCTGTCCTACAACAAATAGGAGAGAACAAAGAAAACTATAAAACTGAAGTTTCGAATTCGTGTGATTATAATTGATATGATTATGAACAATAAATTGTGTTCGAAACCTTGTCATCCAGTAAATAATACTGTTTCACTGTGTGATATATCCATCTAATAAACAAACTAATATGGAATTACTTACTACCATAGTGCTCAAGTTTTACACATGTATTAATACGGTGATTTCACATGTCAAGTGACTCACAGAGGAAAGCTTAACAAAGTCTTTGAAGTGAAGACATGTGATAAGACAAGGTTGCCTACTATCTGCAATGATATCCGTGATTGTGGTGAAATGGAGCATACAGCAGACGGTGGGGAGAAAGAAGACAGGCATAAGTTGGACCGACAGGAACACACAGGAAAATGTGAACATCTTGGGTAATTTATGTCTGATATAACACAAACTCGACGATATACAGGGCGTAAGAGACAAGCAGCGAAGGTAGGACTTCAAGTAAACATAGAGAAGACAGGAGTGATGAAGGTACTCAGAGACTAGCAATGAGCATCGGTCACCATCAGCGTGAGAAGTTTGAACGAGGGCAGCATTATTTCAACTATTGTCATAATAGATGAAGGTGTCGAAGGGAAGGATTGGATCGGAAAAGTAAGACATATCTTCTCTACTCTGCACTCAGCCACTGATTCTCTATGATTCAGTGACACTTGGTGCATCATGTAAAACATTTTCAACAGCCTCCTGCAAGCTTTCATTAACACTTATCTTCCCTTCATATTGAGGGATCACACAGCCAGCCAGAAAGGATAATCAATAGGGAATTCTAGCAGGCGGAGGATCATCAGCCTTACAACATACTGATCAATAAATATATGGAGGAGAAAATGGAGATAAATCAGGCACATGCTGAGGAGATGGTCGAGTAACATCAGCTTCAGACCGTCAAGTGGAACCCGAATGGGAAACGATCAATTGGGCGTCTGAGGGTGACATAGAAGTGGTCGTGTAAGGAGAGATTTATACCTTTTGGTCTTACAATGAATTCTTTGCTTGATATATATATAGTCGTAATTACTAACATGTCATTTTTACATGTCTGTTTTTATTTCTCTCTCACCCCACCTATTTATTGACTTACCCAGCTGGCATTTTCTTCGGGCGCATTGCAGACTTTTCGGGTCAAAAAACCTCGGGTAAATCTACTTACGTGGGACATTGTCCCGAAGTCTGCCCCAAAAAGTCTGCAATTTGCCCGAAGTCTGCCCCAAGAAGTCTGCAATTTGCCCTAAGTCTGTCCCAAAAAGTCTGCAATTTGCCCGAAGTCTGCCCCAAATAGTCTGCAATTCGCCCTAAGTCTGCCCCAAAAAGTCTGCAATTTGCCCTAAGTCTGCCCCAAATAGTCTGCAATTTGCCCGAAGTCTGCCCCAAAAAGTCTGCAATTTGCCCGAAGTCTGCCCCAAATAGTCCGCAATTTGCCCTAAGTCTGCCCCAAAAAGTCTGCAATTTGCCCTAAGTCTGCCTCAAATAGTCTCCAATTTGCCCTAAGTCCGCCCAAATAGTCTGGAAGTTGCCCGAAGTCTGCTCCAAATAGTCTGCAATTTGCCCTAAGTCTGCCCAAATAGTCTGCAATTTGCCCGAAGTCTGCCCCAAATAGTCTGCAATTTGCCCTAAGTCCGCCCCAAAAAGTCTGCAATTTGCCCGAAGTCTGCCCCAAATAGTCTGCAATTTGCCCTAAGTCCGCCCCAAAAAGTCTGCGATTTGCCCTAAGTCTGCCCCAAAAAGTCTGCAATTTGCCCTAAGTCTGCCCCAAATAGTCTGCAATTTGCCCTAAGTGTGCGCAATATACTCTGCTATTTCCCCGAAGTCTGCCCAAAAAGTCTGCAATTTGCCCGAAGTCTGCCCCAAATAGTGTGCAATTTGCACTAAGTCTGCCCCAAAAAGTCTGCAATTTGCCCTAAGTCTGCCTCAAATAGTCTCCAATTTGCCCTAAGTCCGCCCCAAATAGTCTGGAAGTTGCCCGAAGTCTGCTCCAAATAGTCTGCAATTTGCCCTAAGTCTGCCCCAAAAAGTCTGCAATTTGCCCTAAGTCTGCCCCAAAAAGTCTGCATTTTGCCCTAAGTCTGCCCCAAATAGTCTGCAATTTTCCCGAAGTCTGCCCCAAATAGTGTGCAATTTGCCCGAAGTCTGCCCCAAATAGTCTGCAATTTGCCCGAAGTCTGCCCAAATAGTCTGCAATTTGCCCGAAGTCTGCCCCAAAAAGTCTGCAATTTGCCCGAAGTCTGCCCAAGAAGTCTGCAATTTGCCCTAAGTCTGTCCCAAAAAGTCTGCAATTTGCCCTAAGTCTGCCCCAAATAGTCTGCAATTCGCCCTAAGTCTGCCCCAAAAAGTCTGCAATTTGCCCGAAGTCTGCCCCAAGAAGTCTGCAATTTGCCCTAAGTCTGTCCCAAAAAGTCTGCAATTTGCCCTAAGTCTGCCCCAAATAGTCTGCAATTCGCCCTAAGTCTGCCCCAAAAAGTCTGCAATTTGCCCGAAGTCTGCCCCAAGAAGTCTGCAATTTGCCCCAAGTCTGTCCCAAAAAGTCTGCAATTTGCCCGAAGTCTGCCCCAAATAGTCCGCAATTTGCCCGAAGTCTGCCCCAAATAGTCTGCAATTTGCCCGAAGTCTGCCCCAAATAGTCTGCAATTTGCCCTAAGTCCGCCCCAAAAAGTCTGCGATTTGCCCTAAGTCTGCCCCAAAAAGTCTGCAATTTGCCCTAAGTCTGCCCCAAATAGTCTGCAATTTGCCCTAAGTGTGCGCAATATACTCTGCTATTTCCCGAAGTCTGCCCCAAATAGTCTGCAATTTGCCCTAAGTCCGCCCCAAAAAGTCTGCGATTTGCCCTAAGTCTGCCCCAAAAAGTCTGCAATTTGCCCTAAGTCTGCCCCAAATAGTCTGCAATTTGCCCTAAGTGTGCCCAAAATAGTCTGCAATTTGCCGAAGTCTGCCCCAAATAGTCTGCAATTTGCCCTAAGTCTGCCCCAAATAGTCTGCGATTTGCCCTAAGTCTGCCCCAAAAAGTCTGCAATTTGCCCTAAGTCTGCCCCAAATAGTCTGCAATTTGCCCTAAGTGTGCGCAATATACTCTGCTATTTCCCCGAAGTCTGCCCCAAATAGTCTGCAATTTGCCCTAAGTCCGCCCCAAAAAGTCTGCGATTTGCCCTAAGTCTGCCCCAAAAAGTCTGCAATTTCCCTAAGTCTGCCCCAAATAGTCTGCAATTTGCCCTAAGTGTGCGCAATATACTCTGCTATTTCCCCGAAGTCTGCCCCAAATAGTCTGCAATTTGCCCTAAGTCCGCCCCAAAAAGTCTGCGATTTGCCCTAAGTCTGCCCCAAAAAGTCTGCAATTTGCCCTAAGTCTGCCCCAAATAGTCTGCAATTTGCCCTAAGTGTGCGCAATATACTCTGCTATTTCCCGAAGTCTGCCCCAAAAAGTCTGCAATTTGCCCGAAGTCTGCCCCAAATAGTGTGCAATTCGCCCTAAGTCTGCCCCAAATAGTCTGCGATTTGCCCGAAGTCTGCCCCAAATAGTCTGCAATTTGCCCGAAGTCTGCCCCACATAGTCTGCAATTTGCCCTAAGTCTGCCCCAAATAGTCTGCAATTCGCCTTAAGTCTGCCCAAAAAGTCTGCAATTTGCCCGAAGTCTGCCCCAAGAAGTCTGCAATTTGCCCTAAGTCTGCCCCAAAAAGTCTGCAATTTGCCCTAAGTCTGCCCCAAATAGTCTGCAATTCGCCCTAAGTCTGCCCCAAAAAGTCTGCAATTTGCCCGAAGTCTGCCCCAAGAAGTCTGCAATTTGCCCGAAGTCTGTCCCAAAAAGTCTGCAATTTGCCCGAAGTCTGCCCCAAATAGTCCGCAATTTGCCCGAAGTCTGCCCCAAATAGTCTGCAATTTGCCCGAAGTCTGCCCCAAATAGTCTGCGATTTGCCCTAAGTCTGCCCCAAAAAGTCTGCAATTTGCCCTAAGTCTGCCCCAAATAGTCTGCAATTTGCCCTAAGTGTGCGGAATATACTCTGCTATTTCCCCGAAGTCTGCCCCAAATAGTCTGCAATTTGCCCTAAGTCCGCCCCAAAAAGTCTGCGATTTGCCTAAGTCTGCCCAAAAAGTCTGCAATTTGCCCTAAGTCTGCCCCAAATAGTC